AACAAATCTCACAGGAGGAGATTGCCCAGCTTTCTTTCATGGAACGGCTGAGGGATTTACACCAAGCGCCTTTGAGCTGACCGCACAGCTCTCTACCCACTAGACCACCAGAGCTTCCTGGAAAGGAACTTTAGAGTGCAATGAGTTTATGTTTCTGAATTATTAACTGCCTTTGAGAGTTTAAATAGTTAATGTCAAGGTATTTTCTTGCATTCTGAGTCATGAAAACATGTCATCCTTTTAATACCAAGTATAATGTTAGCAGGCTCAAGTGTGTTTGATGAATAAGGTTCCTCCTTCGTCCTGGTAATGAGGGAGGGACAGCTCAGAATAGGAGGGTGGGAATAGTTGGGCCACTTGGAGAATGTCGTCAGTGACACTGAATTGAACGTGTAGAGTTGGTCTATGTTTTAGTGGGTTTGTTCTCAACAACAGCAAAATAAATAACAGTTTATTAACGTGGTTGTTGATAAGAGCATAATAGAGGGGGAATTGAAGGAGATTCATCTAATAATGCATCATTTGTGTGTGGTAAGGAGTTTCACTGCCAGCCCAAAGGCACGTGGTTTGAATCCACCAGCTGTTCCACAGGAAAAGGATGGGCAGTCTCCTCCTGGGCTGTTCGTTGTTATTGCTGTTGTTGTTGTTGATAGCCGTCAAGTCAAGCACGACTCATAGCAACCATATGAACAAAAGACCTGAAGCCTTTCTATAGCTATCACAGTTTCTCAAAGTTCATGGAGTTTCCAGAGGCATGTTGTTTAGGAAGTGGATGCCACGCCTGCTTCCAAACTTCCCAATCTGGGAGCTCCACCAAACACTGCTCACTGTGGGTAACCGATAGGGTATTTGACACCCCAAGAGCACAACGTTCAGCATCACAGCAACCCCAGGTTACCTCAGTACAGCAAATTGACAGAAGAGTGCTGTACCACTTTAGAAGAATGTTCCTCCAAAATATAATAACAACTGACTTTGAAATACAAAGGCCCTCCAGGAAGTCTTGTGGACTTTAAACAGGAGGCTCAATTAATGAACAAACAATATAATAGGTTGTTGTTATGTGCCATTGAGTCAGTCGCCTGTGGCCTGTGGCCTATAGCGACCCTATGTACAGCACCTCTGAACCCTGCCCTGTCCTGAGCCAGTCTCACTGTTTACTGCCTCTGAAAACCGGCTGGAGAGTCAGTGTTAGGTTAGTTCTGCCTCGGTGGGATTCAACTGCAGTAATATGCAGAGGAGATAGAAGATCATTCCACAGATGTGTCCCCAGAGCCTAATCCATCCAAAAATCATATACCGTCTTTCCAAGGAGGGTCATCCTGCCTTGGTCATATTCCTCGTCTGTGTCTCCTCCACCTGCAGCGTCTAGTCCAGGATGTCACACCTCCTACGACTTCCAGAAATGTGTCTTGCCTGAAAAGAAATAAACAAAAGGCTGTTTGAATGTCCATACCTCTGTCTGACCCTCTGGCTTCTTAAAACCTCTCTCTCTAAAGGGAGCTCTGGTGGCCTAGTGGCAGGAAGCTGCACTGCAATCCCAGAGATAGGCAGTTCAAATCTACCAGATGCTCTGCTGGAAAAGGAGGGGCAATCTCCTCCTGTACCAGTCAGATCCAATTTGATGGTACACACACACAAAATAATAAAATAAAATAATTTAAAAAAAAACAACAACCTCTCTCTGTCCTCGCAGCCTGAATCTGAGCAACAGTGACATCCTGACCATCTATGACGGCGACGAGGTCATGCCCCACATCCTGGGGCAGTACCTCGGGAGCAGCGGTCCCCAGAAGCTGTACTCCTCCACGCCGGACCTCACCATCCAGTTCCACTCGGACCCGGCCGGTCTCATCTTCGGGAAGGGCCAGGGATTTATCATGAACTACATAGGTAAGTCTGTCACTTGGTCAAGGTTCGTCTGGATGATTTCGGATGCAGGTTAGAATATTTTCCTGTAGCTGTGTCCGTCTTGAGGTGGCCAGGGCACTACACACACACTTTGCATTATGTTGAAATAGCAGCAGCAGTAAGTCGATTTTTGCAATTGTTGTTTAGTACCATCGAGTCAACGATAGCTCCGAGCGCCTATGTGAACAGCAGCTCTGAACCAGTTCCTTAGCCCACACCATCCTCTCCGTCTGACACGTCAAGCCCATTGTTACAGTCACTGTGTCAAATGAGCACTTTTAAAGGACTGTCTCTCTGGGATCAAACTGACAACAGCCACCCTCAACATAGGACACTTAGGGGGTCGGTGAGTTGATGTTAATAAGGAAGGAGCAGATCAGCCAGAGAACACCTGGAGGGACGTAATCAGTGTGACTGAGTTGTACACGTGCAAGTCGGTGAATTGTTGCAGGTTCTGCCATGCGCATTCTCAGCAACGAAAGAGAAAACATGTAAAGAGAGAGAGAGAGAGTGTGTGTGCGCGCGTGCGTGTGTGTGTGTGGTTTTTGGTTTGCTTTTTTAATTGAAATACAATTTTTATTTTATACTGGTTTACTTACAAAGTTCACGTACCCTGTTTGTCACACCCAGTCTTCTCTATTTCCTTACCCACCCTTCCCTCCACCCAGCAAATTGTGCGAGCCTATGGTTAACCCCCTCCCCACCCACCTCATCTTTCTGTTCCCCCCTCCTCTTCTTGGATCCTTAAACATAGTCTATAATAATGGTTTTATACAGTGGTTGTCCTTATGGGGTTGAGTTAGTTCACTGGTGTTTTAAACCTTGGACTCCACGGTCTCAAGGACCAGAACCTGAATCCTAACATCGTATCAGTGGCTGTGAATCTGTGGACAAGTCACCGGCTTGCTCTGAGCCTCCTTTTCCACCGTAAATAAAATAAGCACAATGGGAGCCACCCCACAAGGCTCATATCAGGATTTAATCAAAGAGACCTAACAACTTCAAGGTGCATCATGCAGTTAGCATAAGCGTTCAGCTTAATCGGCACATTCTCCTAAATTTGCAACTTCTCACCCATCTTCCTCTCCTACTGCCTGGATTGAAGCCCAGGTCGCCCTTGACAGTGGAACCAGCTCCTTCTCAAGGGCGCCAAGTACTTTAGGACCCACAGGTACAAGAAGAATCTTCCTTGATCCTCACTGTGGCTTCCAGCCCGTCTCTCTCACTACCTTAAGACATCCCAGCTCCTTTGAAGTACAAATTAAGTTTACACTTGACCTTCTCTCTCCACTCCCCACCTTCTAATGGGATATTAAATATTCTTCACCAGCGCCCCAGTTCAAAGACATCAGTTCTTCAGTTCTTCCTGTCCATTGTCCAGTTTTCAGATGCATGTGAAGCAATTGAAAACACCATTATTTTGATTGGACATCATTGTTAAATTGACTCTCTTGCTCTTTAAGGGTCTAAAGGGGTGCTTGACAGTGGATTCGCCAGTGTAAGACATGTTTCGGTTTCTTGGCTGCTCCTTCTTGTGGACGGTGATTGGGGATCCCGGCAGCATGAAATCATTGACAACTTCAGTCTCTCCTCCATCTATCATGATGTTAAAAAAAAGGAAGAGAGAGAGAGAAGGAAGGAAGGGAGGGAGGGAGGGAGGGAGGAAAAAACAAAAAGACCTTTGAGGTGTGGTGTTGGAGAAGAGCACTGAATATCCCATGGGCGGCCAAAGAACAGATATGTCTTGGAGACGGTGCAGCCGGAGTGCTTTGGAGGCAGGAATGATGAGGCTTCACCTCCCATACTTTGGACATGTTGCTAGGAGAGACTGTTCCATGGAGAAGGACATGATGCTGGGAAGGGTGAAGGGTCAGAGAAGAAAAGGAAGACTCTCAACCAGGTAGACTGACATGATGACTGCCACAGTGGACTCTGGGGTGTCAGGAAGTGTGAAGATGGCACAGGATAGGACAGGATTCAGATCTGTTGTTCATAGGGTCGCTATGAGTCGTGTTCAACTTGACAGCACCTGATAACAACAATATCATGATGTTGCCTGTTGGCCCCGTGGTGAGGACTTCTGTTTTCTTGAGACTGAAATGTCATCCTTACTGAAGAATGTAGTCTTGGGTCTTCAGTGAGCGTTTCCAGCCTTCTTCACTTTCCACAAACAAGGTTGTGTCATCTGCATAACGCAGGTTGTCGATGGGTCTTCCTGCGATCGTGATGCCACAGTCTTGTTCACATAATCCAGCTTCTCAGATGACTTAACTCAGTGTACAGATTTCTGGGCACACAGGGATGGAGGATGGAGACAGCCCTGATTCACATCATTCCTGATTGTACTCCGTTCAGCATTCCCTGGTTCGGTTAGAGGGACGGGATCTTTGTTTATACACAAGTTCCACAAGAGTGAAAGCCTCGTATAAATAAAAGACTTAATTTCTTTTGATGGTAGATCAGACGCGATGGGGATCTCAATGGACCAGTTTTAGCCAGCAGTCAGGGTGAGTGTTTACACTTTGCAGGAACTAGGTTAACAATGTGATTTCCAGGATGAAGTAAGAAAAGAAAAATTCAATATGCCAAGCTCTCCCACCAGCAACTACCACCACCACCACCACCACCATTACATCCCCTCTGGCTGGGCCAAGACCCCATGTCCCTGATTCTTTCTCCACCCCTGCTTGGGTGGGGGAGGAATCACCCTTCTCCATATGTGAAGTTCTGATGGTTTAATGGTAAGGAATTGTGTTGCCAAAGGTTGTTTGTTGTTGTTGTTGTTATGTGCCATCAAGTCGCTTGCGACTCATAGCGATCTTACGCACAAGAGCCCTAAACACCGCTCTATCCTGTGCCAACCTCACCGTCTCAAACACATTCATTCCCACCACTCCACTCACAGAATCGATCCATCTCATTAAGGGTCTTCCCCTCCTCCACTCTCCCAAACATGATGTCCCTCTCCAAGGACCAGTCCCTCCTTGCAACATGCCCAAAGTATGTCAGACGAAGCTTCAAAATCCTTGACTCCAAGGAGCAGTCCAGCTTCACCTTCTCCAGGACAAACCTGTTTGTTCTCCTAGCAGTCCATGGTACATTCAACACTCTTCACCAGCACCACAGCTCAAAGGCATCAATTCTGCTTCCATCATCCCTATTCACTGTCCGGCTTTCTGACGCATAGCACATAATTGCGAAGCCTATAGCCCTGATCAGGCACACCCTAGTCTCCAGGCTGACATCGTTGCTCTTCAGTACTCTTGAGAGGTCCCTCACAGCTGACCTTCCCAATGCAGTTCGTCTCTTGATTTCCTGGCTGCTGTTACCAAGAGTGTTGACTGTAGACAGTTCAAATCCACAAGCTGCTCCATGGAGGAAAGAGGGGCAGTCTCCTCCCATGCAGTTTACTGTGTTTGAAAACCTGCTGGAGAGTCAGCTACGTATCAGTTCCAAGTCGACCGTACACAGCAACCACCATCTAATACAGCCGTCCTCTAAGGCCAGCCCCTGTGTCTGACCGTTGAAATACAAGTCCTTCTCCTGACCTTTAGCTGTCCCAGGAAGCTTCATGGGCACTGAAAGAGTTCTTTGCCTTTTTTTTATTTCCACTGATGAACGGTTTTCATCCTTACCGGCCTCAGACGCCTCTCTGAGAGGCTAACCCAAGGATCGATTCTCTTTTTGGCTGTTTCTCCGGGGCCCTTTCACTCCCTGATTACGCTGCTAAATGTCTCCAGATGGTTCTGGCTGCTTCTTGCAGCTGATCACCCACTGCAGTGGGCAGTCCCCTGGGGTGCCGTGGGGTGACCCCATGGTGGAGAGAGGGTTCTCAGCCTGCCTCCTTTGACTCCCACCCCCTACCCACCGAAGGGTGAGGTCGTGGTCTTGCTCGCTTTGCCTTTTCTGGTGCCTTGAGTCCGACTTCCAAAAATTACATTTAGCCTGATGACAGAAATCTGACTCACCACAAGCAGATCAAGGTGATCTGGACAGTCTGGCTAAAGCTTGGTTTAAGGACGTCTTGGAGGGCAGATACACTTGACCTTTGAACTTGAAGCTGCTGTTGGCATGATGATTTATGAGGGCAGGCATTTTCACATATTCCATTTCACCTTCAAATGTATCATCTCTGTTTTCCAGAAAGTTTGACACACAGAGACACACACACACACGTGCGCACACACACACACGCTTTGCTCACTGCTAAGAGTTTGTGCAAGGAATCCAGGACTGAGAGGGATGTTGTCCTTACGGGGAACTGAGTACTGAAGGGGAGCAAGGTCATCTCAAGGGCATGAGCTGATGCTGTGGGCGACACAAGTCAAGATTTCAGAAAACACTCCCAGGAAGACACAGCCTGCCTAATTGTAATCACAACAGGAAAACGAAAAAGGCACATTAGAAAGAGACTATTTCTGGCTGTCCTTATGTCTGTGACAGAAACACAGAGTTCACTTTACAGAGACAACAAACAGGACTCTGCGTTAATATTGATGCCAATCAGAAATAACCGATGCTGGGGATGCTTCAGGTGGTACCCACAGTTAATGGGGCTCAGCTGCGAGCCACAAGGTGGGACGTTCGAGTCCATCCAAAGGCACCTCAGAAGAAGGGGCTGGCAATCGACATCTGCAGAATCAGCCATTGAAAGCCCTGTGGGTCGACACAATGGAATACTACCCAGCTTTAAAGACAGAGAACATTCTGATGCACGATGAATCTTGAAAATGTCGTATTGAGTCCATGGAGTCAGTGGCAACAGGACAAGTATTGTAGGACCTTGTGTGCTCGAAATAAGAAAATGTCTGGAAACCAGAGATTACTTGGCATTGAGTGGGAGAGGAGAGGAGAGGGAGAGAGAAAGAGAGGAAGGAAGGAAGGAAGGAAAGAAGGAAGGAAG